AGACGTTCGAACCCTGTGACCCTGAAGAAATGGACAGGGTTCTTATAGTTGTTAGGTAAAAGATAATAGCAGAAAGTCACTGCCATGTTGCTAACCAAGAAAATGATATGGTGTTGTCCATGAAATAACAAAGGATTAGCTCAACTTGAACCAGGATTTATTACATTGCCTTATACTAGTGGTAATGCTTAATAATTGTGCCACTTCATTCCATCTAAACTAATGTCAACATATTTGGTTTTACTTACAGATTGCATGCTATCAAGGACAGATTGCAGTTTTAGATAAGAGCATTTATTTTAACATTATATTGCACTTATTTATTTACCTGTCACTACCAATGTCAAAATCATATTCATTGCTATGCACATATTTCATAAAATCAAAATATGTTCACCTAACTGTTTGAGTTCAACACATATGCATTACACACACACACTATTTACATGTGTAAAAAAAGAGTATAATCAAAGCTTTAAAGTAGCCCCAATTGAAATAGCTTATGGAAGCTTTTGTTGCCGTTCAGTATTACATAAGTCATGTAACCAGTCGGTAAGTCATAATAAATAAAAATGGTTTTGGTGGAAGGACGTGAATCTAGGAAAACAACAAGAATAACAATAAAAGGAACCCATGGCTAAGAAGCTTCTATCTGTGAAGTTTGTGGAGATTTCTGATAGTAGCTTCACCCTTTTCCTCCCTTCTTTGCATAATTCTAAGGCAGATGTAGTTCTCAACTAGTCTTATTTCCTCACTGTGTGTTTTCCAGAAAAGGAGCCGAATGAATGTTGCCTTCAGAAACCTTATCAGATGAACAAGACAAAGCATCTCAATTTCACAGGCCNCCCCCCCCCTTGAGTTGTAAGCCGCCCTGAGTCCCCCCAGGGAAAAGGGCGGCATATAAATAAACTTTCAAATCAAATCAAATTTACCCCAGGGTTTGGGAAAATGCCAGGTTGGCCCCACTGACTCTTGACCACTTCTAGAAATAGAGGTGGAGCTGGCACCTCTTCTTTATCTAGGGCTGTCTTAGCAAATATAGTTTGCATTAGGTCCTTGCGGGAATCTAGAGCAGCAGCAGCAGTGCTGGCAGTTGTAGATTTTGCCTTGGTTAGCAACTGTTTGAATAGAGAAGGTTGGAAAAGTCTGGCAAAGGTAGGAGTGTCCTGCTTTGCTGAGTCCTCATCATCAGACATTACCAGCCCACTCAAGGGCTCCTCCCCAGTAACTGATTCCTCACTGGCTAAAGAGGGTGAACCTGGAGCCTCGACCTCCTCATTAACACGAACCGCCTCGGACCCTTGTCCTTCCAACTCAAAATGGCCTCCACCTTCAATTAAGGGCCGCCCGCTCTGGTAGAAATGGTGAGCGGCTGAGGAAAATGCTGGATTACACGGCGATAATTAAATACCGCGCTTAGGCAGCTTGCAGGGAGTCTCCTGCAAGAATCCCGCCAGTGTGACTGCTGACTCCTGAAAAGCACTTCCTTCAGTGGCTGCTGGCTCACTACAAGAGAAGGGGAAAGGCTGTCAGAAAAAACTTTTTAAACAGACCCACGGCTTTTCCCGCTGCCTGGGGTGAGAGCCGCGCGAGCCAGCTATAAGTTTACTTTCAAGCCATCCCTTACCTCGTCTGCCGTGGAACTGTATTTTTAAACTGCCGGATCCAGCCGAGTGCAAACCAGTGCCGCCTGAGGAGGTGACGAGTCCAAGGCCTCCCCCACTCAGTGAATCAATATCTCCGAAGTTTGACAAAAATTTAAAAAGGAATAGACCGAGTTAGCCAAATATTCCTCAAATAATGGTAAATCTCATAGAAAAAAACAGTAAACCCACAGAAAATAGCAAGTGCTATGAAGAAACCCAGCCTTTGAGTTACTGTATTTACTGTATTTCTCTCTCTCTCTCTCTTTCTATTTGTCTCCCTCTATCCCTCTACCTATCTACCTACACTCTCTCTCTCCTACCTACTTACTGTATTTCTCTATCTCCATTTCTCTCTCTCTATTCCTTTATCTACCTACCTACCTACCTACTCTCTCTCTCTCTCTCTCTCTCTCTCTCT